TGTGATGTAACTAAAATATTGTATTTACCTTTTGTCTACAGCTCAATAAGTTGTAACTTCCGTTACGGCCGTTTCGGCATCAACATGCCATCATCAGACATCTTTAGCTGAAGCAGCGTCGTCACAGTAGAAACACATAACACGAACACGAACACATTTTACGAATACAGATATACGAAAACAAAAATTGTAAAAAAAAAATTTAAAACAGTCATAATGCGTCTCATAAGTTCACTGATTTTTAGTTTATGATTAAAGTTAAAATTAAATCCAAACTGGCAGTATGAAATAACAGAACTTATACAGGGTATCACAAATAAGTAGTAGACTACTGGTTCGAGTAAAACGTACCGAAATATGTCAAAAATGTAATTTAAATTATTTTAGTTTTTGATTTAGCTCAGTTATAATTTGCAATTTGTATGAAAAGTGGCATTGAAACTTTTTAAATAGGCAATCTTTTCCACTTAAAAATTATTAAAAATGTTTTCCAAGTCTTTTTACATCAACTATCTTAACCGTGCGATGTTTAGTTTCCAAATAACCAAGGTGCTTTTATTTTTTTTTACGAATTGCAGATTATAGCTTAACTAAGCTGAAATCGAAAAAAAAGTTATTTGTTATTATTGAATTTCTTTGCCACGTCCACCATGGTACTGCAAGACAAATCTATTTAGAAGATACAATAGTTTTACCTACGTGATACGAATCTATAGACGGTAAAGGCACAAACGAACACAGAGTGATTTTATTGTAGGTAATAAACTAGCAATATGAAAAATTCTTATACACATAACTTTGTCCAGGAGTACTGTGTATAGGTATTAAAACCATGTATACAAATTGTAAAGATAATCCACACTTGATATTATCTAACACCTTTTTAGTACTAACAATCCTATCTCTAGATAACCAAACGCTTTTGTACATCCAGTATTGCAAAATTAATTCAATCAGATAGAATAAAAATAATGTGTACATTAATATTTTTCGACGAAATTAATAAACAAAGAATAATGCTCAAAATGTTCAAACACTAGTCGTGTAAATACTATGTAATCAATTAAATTGTCACCAAAACAAATTATTAAATAAGGTAAATTTAAAATAAAACTTAAATTATTTTAAAAATAATTCGTTACTGGGCGTTACGTTTAATTCTCATTTAAAATATTAAAATTATCAACCATTTATTTTCTTAAAACACAAATATATCATTTCCATTTGATAAAATAACAGAAATTATAAGAGAAAACAGAATAAAAATACATGATTAAATTCATAATTGGAGGCTTTATTATTTAAAAATAAATAATAGGTTTACAAAATATTACACCGGTAATGAATATGCTATGATTGACAATGGTGTAATTATATTTGAAATAATATAAGGCCTAAATCAAAATTATCTCGAACTACCATAATGGAATTTGTGCAACTCAGGGGAGCAACTAAGGTTCCCTTGGATGGAAATGTTCACAGATTCTCATTAAAACTGTAAAATGCAGATCAGCTGCTGACATCCAACATAACCTCCAACATGAGCTGTGGTTTGGACAGTGAGAATATGATTTGCATTTTTTACTTATATTTTACATATGTTTCGATTTTTTCCATCTACAATGATTTATAATCAGGCCAACATAATAATATATTTAGACGTGTAATGCCACCTCATAAACTTATTAGCATACAAATTACAGTATTGACATTTCAATATTTTGATCTAAATTTAAAAACAAATCTTCTGTATTTTTGGTTAATGTACTTTTTTGATAAAGTGTTATTGCTTGGCATGGATCTGTTTGTTTATAATTTTATTAGTTTCAGATGTATGGTTTTCTTTGTATTCATAACTGTTTCTGAACCTTAATTTTCAGTAGCAAATGGAGGAATATTAAATTCCACGGAACGGACGCAGATAATTTATTTATTTATTTATTTATTTATTTATTTATTCACGGTAACACCATTTATACAATAGTAGTTAGCATAATCAATTACAAGATGGCATAATTAACAACGACACTACATTACTAATGCAATTATATCAAACAAAACTGAACTTGAAAAAACTTTGGGTAAGTATGATATTCAATGAAAACAACAGGCAATGCAGACAACAACAAAAAAAAAACAATCAATAACAGGCAATGAAAGACTAAAAATAACAGGCTATAAATACAAGCTATATAAATACGGCAAGCAATAACAGGCAATGAAAGGCTATAATGACAGGTTATAACTAATAGACTATAGTACAAGCTATAATACAGCAAGCAATAACAGGCAATAAATACATACAAAATATAACAGACAATAAAAAGGTCCATAATATACTTGTTCCGTATTCAAGCGCTACCTAGATATTTCCAGACGTTTCATATCATAGAATAACCTTTGTCCTGTCACGTGATGTCTGGAAACCCCAATCTCGCCCCAGTTCCCTTGCATTCATGCAACTACTAACATGTCCCCGGCACAATTATCTCCCAATTGCTGCTCTCATCTCTTAACCCCAAAGTATATTTAATTATTATTAGTGACACATATTAAAAGTGAACTATTGAACATTTGTGAAGTGAAACACTACTACTGCCGGTCCGGGTCTGTGTACGAGCAATACGCAATAGCTGGCCAGCAGAAGAAACTCGTGTACGTCTACCGGCTTCGTCTTCTCAACACTTCAGTTAAAAGGAAGGTACCTCATCAATCTCATTATATCTGTTAAATAATTAGTGACAAGTTTTTAATATTGCTCTTTCAACATACAGTCTATTTATTTATTTATTTATTTATTTATTTCATTCCAACGGCAAATACCAATACTTATAGGAGGCATGATGCAACATGGCTACATACAAAGAATATACAAAAAGTTCAGATAATACAATACAGAAATACACAGAAATATAAATACATAATATATAGGAAATACAAATACAAAAATATACTGAAAAACATATAGAAATATAGATACAGAAATACAAATAGTATATATGTGCAAAATGCTTGATATTCAATGAGATTACGAGAAATTACAACAAATGCAAAACAAGCAGAAATGACTATTTACAAAAGCAAAGAGACTTTCAATCCACCGAATCAATCAGCTATAGGCCAGGGAGCAGCGAGCATCCGTCTTCTGATGGTAGTTGAACTGTCACAGAATAGGTCGACCGTGTCGCAGAGACCATTCCCAAGCCTCATCATCCTTGCCAGTGGACCGTGGAAGTCGTAGGAACGCTGGTAATGGCGCCTGCTAAACAAGTCACGTGACCGAGTTCTGGATGGAAGGCGGAAGTCCACTTGTGACAGAAGCATGGGACAGTCCAGCTGACCACTGATAAGCTTAGCAAGGAACAGCACATCTGCTATACAGCGTCTCACTTCCAGGTCAGGGAGGAAAAAGTTAGCCTGAAGTCCAGCAAATGGAATTTCCCTGTAGTGCAGTCCCTGACGAACCCCCAGTAGTCTCACGAACTTCCTCTGCACAGCCTCCAACTTATCGATCAGACCCAGGTGGTAAGGGGACCAGACAGGGCTGGCATACTCCAGGAGCTGACGCACAAAGGATGAATAGAGAGTCTTTAACATTTAACAGTCCATTTGAACATTTTTAGGCAAGTTTACCCCCCATCCGCTGGTCCTGTCGAGTCGGACGAAAATCTTATCATTAATAATATATTGTGCTTTTATTAGCCTAGCTACTGTAACTGTTAAAATTGTACAACTAAACTCTAAAAAGTGTCACTTCTCTAAATAATTAGAGCAGCATTTGTATTCCCCATTACTAGTTTTGGTGAATAAATAATATTTTATTCCATTCCCCTGTGCCATCTCAGACGTGAATATTTCATGTTAGTTTCATGTTCATGTCCTCCCACTGCTACATGAATCACGTCATATTTCCTTTCAAATAGTTATTTGAAATCAGGAATTAGTTAGGATATTTAATATTTTCTCTAAGTGTCTCAATCAATTCACCATATCAATTATTGTCATTAACAATAATTTTTGTCTGCACTTTGTTTCGTCCTTAATTTTCTAACATATTTTCACTTATCAGAAAGTCAGCCATTTTATATTTTCTGTCCTTGCGATGCACCTTGGTAGCGAACTTCTCCACTAGAGCGCTCTGCCTACAGTCTGCACGTCGCAAGAACCAATGAGCGTCGAGATTCGTAAAACAGAATAAATCGCCCAATGATATTGCTTCTTCAAATTGATCATATGTAAAACTCAGTTTCAAGCACAGGAAATCAGCTGACTGAATATAAAACACACTCCAGCTACATACAGCTGTGTGAATTGAATCAAAATATAAACGTAACCTTCAAGTTTATTTACATCTTGGAAAATATTGTTTTGTGTGAATATTAAACGAAATATTAGTGGTTGAATCGATTCTTGTCTACATTAAGGATATTGCTCATAATAAATACTTCCCTACTCAATATATTCTGCGAAAATACTGATTCAAATTAAATGACTTGTGTTAAATAGACTTTACTTTTATTTACTATGTCTATCCTGGGTCTGATGGTAAAGTGAAATATAATTTTACATTCATTATTTCTTATAGAGTGAATGTAAATGAATTGATTTATTCTGAGCTATTAATTTGCATTATTGTTAGGTCTAAGACTTGGAGTTATTTTGATATTTAGGTGTTGGTGAATATTTACGTAGGCCTAAACTTATGATAAACTTAGGCCTATAGCTTACTCTGTTGATTACATAAATGGTCTGTTAAAATGAGATTCTCTACACTAGAGAAAAAGGCAAAACTTGTCAAAAATAGGCTTCAGAAAATAAGCAAGTTTGTGTCAGCCCAAATTACTCTCTCAGATACTCAATCATTAAATGTTGTTTCCATTCAGCGCTTACACAACTATGATGATGAAGTTAGAGGTTTATTCTCTGATTTTAAAGCTTTATTCGATAAAGTGGTTTATGATGATCCTGGTTCTGATTATGACGAAACTGAAGCATGCTCTATGCAAGATGAAATTTCGGACTTGTACATTTCTCTGATCAGTGACTTGAAAATAGTGTTACCTGCTAAAACTAAAGAAGTAACACCTCCCACCCAACCATCTCTGCGACTGCCCAAATTTGAGTTGCCCAAATTCAGCGGTAACTACGAAGAATGGGTTAGCTACTACAATATTTTTGAGGCTTCTATTAATAGGAATGAAAATTTGGCCCCTGTGAGTAAGTTCCAATATCTGCTTAGTTCTTTAAGTGGTGAACCCTTAGATTTAGTAAAGAGCTTAAGCATAACTGCAGAAAACTTTGATGTTGCACTTAGGCTGCTTAAGGATCGCTATAATAATAAAAGGCGTGTTGTAACTCAGCTTGTTACAAAAATCATTGATTTGCCATGCATAAGTAGTGGTTCTCTCAAAAGTCTCCAACATTTTCTCACAGTTTATAAAGAGACCACTCAAGTTTTGAAAAATCTCAACCATGACATAACAGCTGAAAATACCCTGCTTGTCCTAACGCTTTTGAAAAAGTTACCTACTGATTTAAGAAAATCTTTTGAGGATTCTCGCATCACAAACAATGACATACCTGCAGTAAATGATCTAATTCAATTCCTTGAAAGAGAATTTAAACGATTAGAAGGAGCTAGTATCGGTCTTGGTCCCTCAGCTAACGCAAGATACCCTTCAGTGCAAAAGACTCAATCTAATAGTTATAGGCCTAAAGCTCTTCGAGATAGTAAACCTTACTCCTCTCAAGCTAAAACAGCTTTTGTCACAGTGACTAACAATTGTAAGTTTTGTCAAGCATCCGATCACAATATATACAAGTGTCAAGCCTTTCAGGCTAAAAGTAGAGGTGATAGAGTTGAATTCACTTGTAAAAATAATCTATGCGCCAACTGCCTAGGCCATCTACATGATACTAATAACTGTCCTTCTCATAGAGTGTGTCGAATTTGTTCAAAGCGACATCACACTCTCTTACATGACTCAACTCCCACACAACAGCAGCCAAGTTACCTAACCAAGGTTTTTGAAAAAAAATATGGTAAGCCTCCTACAAATAACGCACCCCAAAGCCATGTCACCGCACCAGTGAATAAAAGTGCTCTTGTAGGATTGTCTAGCCAGTTAAACCCAACTAAAACAACAATTTTACTTGGAACATGTTTAGTTCAGGTGTTTACCAAAGATGGTCAGCAAACTGTACTCCGTGCTGTGCTCGACTCTGCATCTCAACTTACATTGATATCTGAAAGAGCTGTTCAGCTCATCAGTGCCTCCCGTACTCGAGCACATGATGAAATCCAAGGAATTTCTGGCTCACTAATTCATTCTAGAGGAATAGTGCACATTGATATATCTGCAGTTAATGGTCAACGCTTAGCCTACCATCATCCATGCTTGGTTTTGAATCGTATCACTTCACCACTGCCTCAGATCCCAGTCTCACCTCAAGTGAAGGGATCCTTAAATGATTTTGTTCTTGCAGACCCCTGTTTTGACAAACCTGGAGAAATTGATCTATTGATCGGAGCTGATTTATTCGCTCTCTCACTGACTGGTGAGCAGCACTTCTTAGGCCATAACCTGCCCCAAGTTTTAGGAACTATATTCGGATTTGTTGTAATGGGCATAGCTCCTGTTGCTACATCTGAGTTATCAATCCCAAAAACTGTTTCTTTTCTCACTACACATGATGGAGACCTTCACAGTTCACTTCAAAGGTTTTGGTCAATCGAAGAACCCCCGACATGTGTCAAGACTCAGTCAGAAGAAGATGTTCTCTGCTTACAGCATTTTGAAAGAACCCATACACGTGATAACTCTGGTCGATATGTTGTTAAGTTACCGAAAAGACCAAATCATCCACTATTAGGTGAATCTTGTAGTACAGCTCAACTTAGACTTAAAGCGATGGAAAGAAAATTTGCTGCTCAGCCCGAATTCAAAGATTTATACTCCGAATTTATGGATGACTACATCAAATCAGGTCACATGAGTGCATGTGAGCAACCCCTTTCTGGTGAATGTTACTATTTACCCCATCATGGAGTATTTAAGGAGAATCCCCCTAATTCCAAAATACGAGTCGTATTTGATGGTAGTTCCAAAACAAATAATGGCGTCTCCCTAAACGATATCCTCATGTCTGGCCCTAAGTTGCAGAATGATATTAGTGATGTCTTGCTGTACTTTAGGTGTCACAAGTTTGTGTTCACTTGTGATATACGACAGATGTATCGCCAGATTCTGGTGGCTGAAGATGACAAGAAATATCAGTTAATCTTTTGGCGATCCAACCCTGATGAATCCCTTCAAGTCTTAAAGCTAAATACCGTCACCTACGGTCTCAACTGTTCCCCGTTCATTGCGATCAGAACATTACAACAATTGGTCAAAGATGAGGGTCACTCATACCCCAAGGCGTCTGAGATTCTAACTAAATCAATATTTTATGACGACATCATCGCTGGAGCAGAAAGTCTTGATGAAGCTTTGTCTGCACAGAATGAACTCAAGAACTTGCTCGCTAGAGGAGGTTTTGAACTCCGAAAATGGATTAGCAACGCACCCCAACTATTGGACCAAGTCCCAATTGAACACAAAGAGACTCCAGTGGAGTTAACTGAAAATAATGAAGCCTTCTTCAGTGTCCTAGGTCTAAAATGGACTCCAGAGTCTGACATGCTTTCTTACAAGGTTAAGGATGTTGAAATAAGTGCGATACTTACAAAGAGAAGAATATTATCTACAATCGCTAAACTGTACGATTTACCAGGATTTCTTACACCCGTAATTTTCTGGGCAAAAACACTTATTCAGTATCTCTGGACAACAGGGCTAACTTGGGATGAACCTGTTCCAAATGATGTTAGAACCAAGTGGCATTCATTCTTAGAAGAACTCCCAATAATTCAAGAATTAAGAATTCCACGCTACATTTCTACTTCTCTGCATACGGCTGTGCAACTCCACGGCTTCAGCGATGCTTCAGAGAAAGGCTACGCTGCTGTTGTCTACCTTCGTGTCACTGACTCTCAAGAGAATACAAGGCTCTATCTCATCGTCTCTAAATCAAAAGTCGCTCCTTTGAAAAGAATTTCTCTGCCACGGCTTGAACTTTGTGGCGCTCACTTACTGGGAAAACTTCTTCAATATTCTTCAAACATACTCTCTGCTCATATGAAGATTGAATCAATCTATGCTTGGTGTGACTCCACAATTGTCCTAACCTGGATACGTACTCTTCCATACCGCTTGAAAGTCTTCATTGCCAATCGTATTTCAGAACTCCAAGAATTGGTCTCTCCTCACTCATGGAATTATGTCAAATCTCAAGACAACCCAGCAGATTGCGCCACTCGTGGTCTTTCACCCTCTCAACTTGTTACTCATCATTTATGGTGGATTGGACCGGAATGGTTACAGTCATCGTCAGATTCTTGGCCTAAGCCAAAATTCACACCTGTTATTGATGATGACACTCTTGAAATAAGGCCAAATCCTCTAAACGTTCTACCAACCACAGAGAAGATTAAACTCACTGATTTTGATATACTAGAAAAATATTCATGTTTCAGGAAACTTGTAAATGTCATGGCATATATATTGCGATTCATTCATAATCTGCAAGCCGATGATCACCGCATTGGACGACTTACTTGCCAAGAAACTTCTTCAGCGAAATTAAGAATTTTCAAACTCATACAAAATACATCATTTAAGGATGACATCTCTGCTCTCAAAAAGGGATCTCAATGCAGCTTAAAACTTGCTCGTTTATCCCCATATATTGATGACACTGGAATAGTGCGAGTAGGCGGCAGGTTGAAACATTCCAACCTTACACAAGATGCGAATCATCCAGTTTTGTTACCTAAAGCTCACTGTACTGTCAAACTGTTGATTATGCATTATCACCTAAAGCATCTACACGCAGGCCCTCAATTGCTGCAGTCTATTCTGTCTCAAGAGGTTTGGATATTATCAGCCCGCAGCGTGATAAGATCTGTGATTTTCAAGTGTCAAAGATGTTTCAGACTTAAGCCTGTAAACAAACCTCCACTGATGGGAGATCTTCCTGAAACTCGATTAAAACCTGTAAGGCCATTCTATCACACTGGCATGGACTATAGTGGACATTTTGACATTAAAGTTCATTCAACTAGGAACACTCAACGGTTAAAATCATACCTCTGCCTCTTTGTATGTTTTGCTACGAAAGCTGTGCACCTAGAAATTGTAACAGACCTATCTGTAGACTCCTTCATAGCTGCACTAAAACGTTTTGTTTCTCGTCGTGGATTGTGTGCCCACTTATACTCAGATTGCGGAACTAACTATGTTGGAGCCTCAAAGCAACTCATGAAAACTTTTCAGAATTTCATCAAGGAATCAAACACTAAAGATGCTCTTAACAACTTCGCGTTAGATCACTCAATAAATTTCCACTTTCAACCACCAGCCGCTCCCCACCAAGGAGGCCTATGGGAGAGTGCTATAAAAAGTTCTAAATATCATCTGAAAAGAGTCATAGGCGATAGAGTTCTAACACTAATGGAAATAATAACACTCGCCACACAGGTGGAGGCTGTACTAAACTCGAGACCTTTAACAGCGTTATCCGCTGATCCATCTGACATCTCAGCCCTTACTTTTTTCTCATTTTCTTATCGGCACTTCTCTTGTGGCAGTACCGGAACCAAATCTTGAAGAAGTTCCCGAAAATCGTCTCAACCATTGGCAAACTGTACAAGCCCTACATCAACGCTTCTGGCGACGTTGGCATCAAGAATATTTACATCAGCTACAACAAAGAAAGAAATGGGAAAAGCCCAACAAGAATCTAGAAGTGGGTGATCTCGTTATAATTCAGGACCCTAGAACACCACCACTACTCTGGCCTCTTGGACGCATAGTGAAGACTTCGCCTGGATCGGACGGCATCGTCCGAGTTGTCACCATCAAGACTCAGCGGGGAACCTTCTGTCGTCCTGCTACCAAGGTGTACCCGCTCCCCTGATCTCATTATCAGACCAAACAAAATGTTTATTCTATTTTCAAACATATTTCTATTTCAATGTTATGTATATATATTTAATCTATGTTTCTTATATTTCAATGTCAATCTTTATTCATTATGTGTCACTTTGTAACTTTCTCAATGTTTTGAACCATGTACGGTTCAAGGCGGGCGGCATGTTCCGTATTCAAGCGCTACCTAGATATTTCCAGACGTTTCATATCATAGAATAACCTTTGTCCTGTCACGTGATGTCTGGAAACCCCAATCTCGCCCCAGTTCCCTTGCTTTCATGCAACTACTAACATGTCCCCGGCACAATTATCTCCCAATTGCTGCTCTCATCTCTTAACCCCAAAGTATATTTAATTATTATTAGTGACACATATTAAAAGTGAACTATTGAACATTTGTGAAGTGAAGCACTACTACTGCCGGTCCGGGTCTGTGTACGAGCAATACGCAATAGCTGGCCAGCAGAAGAAACTCGTGTACGTCTACCGGCTTCGTCTTCTCAACACTTCAGTTAAAAGGAAGGTACCTCATCAATCTCATTATAACTGTTAAATAATTAGTGACAAGTTTTTAATATTGCTCTTTCAACATACAGTCCATTTGAACATTTTTAGGCAAGTTTACCCCCCAATACTGACTCTCATAGTTTGTGATAACCAAGATCCAAACTACCTTTTCGAACGAGACACAGGAAAAACATGCTACAGGAAAAATTGTGTTTTAATAAAATGTTTACATTAATTTCAGAAAATTCTACAATCCTTTGATTGGCAGTTTTATTGATTAAATATTTTGTAATGGAAAATGTGTGGTATACTGTGGTTTCTTCTCAATGTTGATGGTACGGTATCGCAAATTATTTGGATTTTAGTGTTGGTACAGATTGTTTTTTTTTTCATAAGGATTAATTACTGATGGAATGCTTTTCCAAATATTTCACCCAACACATACAACGACATACATGTATTCATTAATATAGAATCGTATCTATGCTAATTAACTGACCTGCTTTAGAATGTGCTGAAAACTTTAACATAATAATATTTTACCATAAGAAATAGGGTAAGCTGGTAACAAGATTTTTATTGACGTATCCAACACAAAATCAGGGAATAAAATTGGTTGAGCATTCCATTAAACTGTCCCTGTTTCTGTGTTGAAGCACTTTTTCGTTAAAAGCTTTTATGTAAAATCGTTTGCTACCCTAGAATTAAAATCTATAAAACTTTAATCCACCAGGTAAAATATTTTTTGTGTTCAGTTAGTAAATAGCGTAAATAAAGGAAAGGTATACTTTTTCAGGGTTTTAGATTATTTATGTAAAATAAGTTTGCAATTTTTGTTCATGTCGTGTCTTTATTATGTTAGAATTTATAGATCAACACCTACGAGCTTACGTAACAAAATTAGACTCATAATTAAAATATTAAAATGTTGAGGTACATTTAATAGTTGAAATATTTATTTAAGGAAGATAAAGCACCATCATAACATAAAAAGCAAAGTCAATAAGAATTCTGTCAATTGCTAAAAAAATCGAGTTATTGTATGGTTAAGTTAAAAATTGTATATCTGATAGTATCACTAAAATACATATTATATTGTTTAATCATCTTGTGCTCGTTATCGATATAACTGTAGATTGTGTAGGATAATTAAGAATTTTACAAATAACTATGTCATTCAACGAACTTTTTGTTATATTTGAAATATGTTGTGAAACAAGACTTAAACACGTGTTTTATTTTAACCATTGTTTAGCCAACATCCAAAAGTTCACTATAATTTCAAGCGATTATTACAATTAATTGAAATTGTAACGGTAGTTACTTTGTATAAATGTACACGTGAAACTTTAATAACTGGAGCTCTTAGTAACTTCATATTGTTTACGTACTTCAGCTACCTTATCGTTTTAAAATACAACTTTTAAATATTAACAATCTTGGGATGAAATGTTCTTAGTTAAAACCTTGGTAAGCCAATATACTAAGTTTTTATATCCTGCTTGTGTACTTTATCAGTCGGTTCAATAATTAAAAGGTTAACGTAAAAGGTGTTGTACCAGGGCACAGCATTAAGGCTTGATTAAAAGATACAAGAAAGTATTATTAATATGATTTGTCAACATAAATATGCATGATAATTAATATGAATAAAATTATATATGCGAGGAAATCCATTTTGCAAATACAGTTTAATCTCAGACAAGGCAATTAATTATTATTTTGATAGAAATAGATTTAAATCAAAATTATTTAACACCAAAATTAAGGACTATTAATACAAAAAACCAATCAAATATGTCCAATAAGAAGTACAAGTGGTTAATGCTCGTTGTAAAAGTTTACGTTGAGGCATCATATTTTTTATTTATATCATTTAGGAGATCGAGTAGCAGTAGTAAACCTTTACAAATTAGGTATAACTGTGTGTTTTGCAAAACTTGTAGAATAACAAAATACAGTAAACGAACCGTAAATGGGTCTGGAATAGTAAATGTTTGCTGACTTTCATTGAATCTAATCACTGCAGAAATATGGACCAATTAACTCTCTTGTACGACGGTCGGTTCAATAATAAGTCACATCTCCATCAAAAGCCTGTTCTGTTATTGTTCACTGTTTCCAATTTTTTGTTAGTAGAATGTTTTTGTTTCCAAGTTTTGTTTCCAAATTCCTTGGCCAATTCCCTTTAACTGTATATAACCCTCGAGAAGGTCTGCTTACGATTTTGTTTTTAAACAGAAGTGCGTTTAATCTGTTAATATTATTAAACACATTATACAACTATTGTGTGAAAGCCTTGCATCTGAGTCTCTTTTGCCAAGGATCAGAGCCTGGAGAGTCCTGGAGGATTACACGGCCAGTGACCACCAGTACATAATTTTTGACGTCCTGGATGGTCATCAGAGACAAGTGGCAGCGTTTCGTCAAGTGCCCGCTCGATGGAACATTAAAACACTGGACGTGACAAAATTCAATGGAGCCATCCTACGAAGAACGCCGGTGGTTCATCCTGCAACTGGCGTGCCTCACGCAGAGGCGTTAGTTACATCCACGATGAAACTGATTGTCTCGGCCTGCGATGAGTCTATGCCTCGCAGGAGATACCGGTGCAATAAGCGTCCTGTGTACTGGTGGACTGCCGAGATTGCGGAATTGCGTCGAGCGGCATTGAGGGCCAGAAGACTTGCTACCAGGGCTAGAGAACCCCTAGACAGACGGCGTAAGTCGGATGCTTATAGGGTGGCTAGGAGGTATCTTCGTCGAGCCATCAATCGGAGTAAACGCAGTTGCTGGGATAAATTAAGGGACGATGTTGATTCCAACCCGTGGGGCCTGGGTTACAAACTTGTAACCAAGAAACTTGGAACCCGCTCTCCACCTTCCGTCATGGACAGGTTCACTATGGAGAGGATAGTCGAGTCCCTTTTCCCGGCTCACGCGTTGCGTCCACTGCGGGATTATGGAAGGGTGGACGACGTCCCACTTTTCAGCCCTGAAGAGCTGGTGGCGGCCGTCATATCCCTGAAGAACAACAAGGCTCCTGGTCCCAATGGGGTGCCCGGTGAAGTCCTCAAGAAGGTTTTGACTACCAACCCCTTGATCCTTTTGAGCATGTATAACGCCTGCCTGGTTGAAGGGGTTTTCCTCTTGTGCTGGAAGACAGCTAGGCTTGTGCTTGTTGGGAAGGGCAAGGGAGACCCAGATCTGCCATCCTCTTACAGACCTCTGTGTATGTTGGATACGGCTGGCAAAGTCCTCGAGAAATTGATCCGTTCCCGGCTAAATTCAGCCGTTGTCGCTGCGGGGGACCTCTCCCCTCGTCAGTATGGATTCAGGATGGGGCGATCAACGATTGATGCGATTGAGGAGGTGAAGCAAGCCGTGATGAGAGCTGAGGATTTTACCCACTACTCTCGCAGGGTTGTGCTGCTCGTAACGCTCGATGTGCGAAATGCATTTAATTCGGCGAGGTGGTGCGATATGCTGGATGCTCTGGAGAACACCTTCCACGTGCCGGCATACCTCATGCGCATCATAGAGGATTATCTCCGGTTTCGCCTCCTAACGTATGACACTGTGGAGGGCCCGCGGACGATGAGTGTCACTTCTGGTGCTGCCCAAGGTTCCATACTCGGCCCAGACCTCTGGAACGTCGCTTATGACAGCCTTCTGAGGTCTGAAATGCCTGAGGAAACAGTCTTGGTTGGGTACGCAGACGACGTTGCAGCTTTGATAGCTGCACGTAGCGTTGAGCTGGCTCAGCTAAAGCTAAACCGAGTTATGCGTACCATAAACGCATGGATGGCAGACCACGGTCTCTCGCTTGCTCTGAGCAAAACCGAGATCGTGATTTTGACAAAAAAACGAATTGACACCATCGTGCCGTTGAGGGTGGGAGCCGTCGAGGTTCAAACTGTTCGTTCTGCCAAGTATCTTGGGGTCATGGTAGACAGCAAGCTTAGCTGGCGGGATCAGATCTTCCGTACAGCGGACAAGGCCGCTAGGGTGGTTTCTTCTCTTAGCCGGTTGATGGCCAATGTCGGAGGGCCTCGGTCCAGTCGTAGAAGGCTGTTAATGTCTTCGGTCCAGTCCGTACTCTTGTACGGTGCGGAGGTGTGGGCAGACGCACTAAATAAGGAGGCATACAGTGTAAGGGTTAATTTTCCCTTACAGTTTATTAATTTTCTGTAAAGAAGTTGTTATTATTTTGTACAGAAGTTGTTATTATTTTAAAGAAGTATTATTATTTTGTGAAAGAATACAGATTTTATTTTGTTTCTTGTCTTAAATTATTCCTACAACCCAATTGTTTAGTTAGAAATAGAGTTATTAAAGTTATTCTGGTACGTAACTATAAACAATGGAAGTGTAGTTAAATATTCTGAATGACAATAGTGTCAGCGTTAGAGAGAGAGATATATATATATATGTATAGTTGGAAGTAAAACATTGAGGTAGCGGCCGAGCTTATCAGCT